ACCATGGTTCTTCTAGTGGTCCTCTGTGAATTCACACAAATGGGTCTTGTCTGCACCTGCACTGACATTCTCAGAATATTCTAGAGCTAAAAGTAACAATTTTATGGGCTGATCCCCAATGAGGCACATGCTCCCCCCAACCAAGATTCCTCTCAGTTCCTAAAATTTGTCCGCTGGGCATGAGAGTTATATAATAAATAAGATACCCATGACGGACAGAGGGGAGGACAGGTGGGTAGTGTGAATTCACAGAGGACCACTCGCAGAATCATGGTTACAGGTAAGTAACCTTTCTTTCTTCTTCATGGCCTCTGTGAATGCACACAAATGGGTGACTAGCAAGCTTCACTTATCGGCCGGTGTGATGTCATGGTAGGAAGGATGCCAACACAGTTCTGCCAAATCCAGCATCATTGTGTACCCTTACATCTAGCTGGTAGTGCTTTGCAAAGGTGGATAGCATGTCATTGTGTACCCTGGTAGTGCTTTGCAAAGGTGGATAGCATGAATCATGCTGCTGCATGGTAGATGTTGAGAATTTCGGTTCTACGCTGGAATGCAGCCAAGGTGGACAGCATTCTGGTGGAATAAATTTTAAGATTATTAGATGGTGACTCGCCTGACTGCTGATAAGCCATAGATAGTCTGGACTATCCATCTAGAGATGGATTAGGATAAAGCTGGACCTTTGTTATGAGGACCATGAAAGCATACAAAAAGCCTGTTAGTTAGTCTGAAGGTCCTGGTAGTGTCTGCACCTGTGGGGGGATATTCATATTCATATAGAAAAAATTTTAAGATTATTAGACGGTGACTCGCCTGACTGCTGATAAGCCATAGATAGTCTGGACTATCCATCTAGAGATGGATTAGGATAAAGCTGGACCTTTGTTATGAGGACCATGAAAGCATACAAAAAGCCTGTTAGTTAGTCTGAAGGTCCTGGTAGTGTCTGCACCTGTGGGGGGATATTCATATTCATATAGAATTCAGAAATGCTCTCTAGAACAAAATATAATTGGGATAATGTCTTCGGCTTTGTCTTTTAGACATACAGAAACCAGAAAATTAGATATATTAGCATTAAACCTAGAAATCAGAGTACAATAACAATTACTGCATTCAAAACAAACAAATGCTCTATGGCCAGATGCATAAAAAAGGATGAGAATCACCAGGATATTTGGTACAAGACAGACATGAACCATTATGAGGAGATGATGCCTCAAACGAATTTACTAATCAGAACAATACTGAAAACAAATCTGATGAATTCAGACATCCTGAAGGTGTAATGAATCAAACGAGACAGAGGCTCCATGCATTCTGTTAGAAACATAACTTCACTTAGCAAAGTTCCTGTTTCATAACAGGCAACATTAACTAATATCAGGATGCAAATATGTAAACAAGTAATGTGCAAGCTCCTCCTCGGGATGTTTAAGTATAGTGTTTAAGTATTTAAGTTCTCCAGATTCCTGTCTTCAATCATTTGTTAGGTTTTAAAATCGCTATCATTATTTTAACAATATCAGCATCCTGTTCTACTGTGGAAAACTAAGATATTACACCCAAATCCTGGTAAATGGGCTGAAGACTGCTATAATGATAATGCCCAAACTCTTCTTCCTACTGAGAGTGGTATTGTGACATATTTTTATATCACAATACCATTATCGGTAGGAAGAAAACCAAAAACTTGAATATGGAAGTCAAACTTCTTCTGTAATAATTAAAAACAGAACCACAACAAAAAAAATATTTGCAATTCCCAGGTAGATCAACTCTTACTTTAATACATTAGGCATGCAAATCTGTTCATTCCTGTGCAGACTAGAAGCAAATAATTAATTCTCCTTGCCCAGATACTTGTTGTGGCTCCTTTCATATTCTTGTTAAGTAACAGAAATACCTTATAAGATGCACAGTTGTATTGTGGTACATGTGCACCTAGGTTCTGCAGAGAAAAGGGAAACTGTCTTTACTAGGAAATTGGCACAGGACAATTGACTTGTGTGAAAGCCTACACACTTGCACCCCCTATCCAAAGTGTTTAAAAGCAGTCCTAAGAAGTTCACGGCAGAAAAAAATGAATGTCCAGACTTGAACTATCTTTGACAGCAGATATTTGCTTGTCCAAGCAAGAACAAGGAACGTCAGTTGCTCCCATTAATCTGATTGTTCCTTTCAAACAGCATCTAGAGTGATAATGGTAGAAAACTCGTGGCAAGTCTAACCGAACATTAGTTAAAGACCACTGGAAGATCTGTTCCATAGCAAAGTGACAAAATGGTTCTCCAATGAGAGGCAGTTACACTGGCTGAGGATACCACATTGGTCACATAGCAGTGAGTTAAGTCTTCCTTCATCATCACTGCATCTGCAGTGTAGTCCAGTAGAACTGTTTTGAGTGGTCAAGGGCCTACTGTGATACCGCCTGCAAATGAAGAATGTTAACCACTCTATAGCCCATTTGCAACTTGCAAACACATTGCAAATAAATTTGCTCTATTCTGCTCTGACTTGCATGACGGAGTTAATGCAGATCCTGCAGATGTAACTTTGGCTCTAGCACTAATGCTTTTTAACTCGTGGACCACAAGGATATGGTCAGGATCCTTGATAGTTAAGAGAGAGGTAAGAGCTATCATGTGTATTCTGGATCCTTGCCTTCACGTATTATAAAAGCAGCTAGAAAGCATGCAGCAGAATGGGTAAGAAGAGTGCTGAACAACTCTTTGGAGCGAGTGGAATTCCACCATATCTCCAGGAAGTAGTTGTAAGATCTTCACTTAAAAAATCCCTCCCCTGGACACCACACTACTGGCTTATCTCAAAATATCCTATTTCTGTGTAGGGTTTTGGAACATGTAAAGGTTTCTCAGCTAAGGATTCCTGGATGAAACAAATTATCTAAATCTATTTGCATCAGGCTTCAGGTTTGTTTATGGAACAGGAACTGTTTTGGTTGCCTTGGTGAACAGTCTACATTGGGAACAAACTGAGGGAATGTCTCCCTAAAGATTCTGCTTGACCACTCTGTAGCCTCAGATACCATCAACCATGGTATACTTCCAGGTCAACTGTCTAGAATGGAGGCACTGTGGGTCTGGTTCTTCCAGGTGGGGTAAACTCAGAAGATGGTGGAGGGGACCTTGGCTATTCGCCTGTGGCATCCCTCAGGGTTTTCTTTTGTCACCCATGCTGCCACATTTAAGTATCTACAAGGTAGCCCCAGACAACAGGGAACTGAATTCAGATGAATGGAATGACAGAAGATAATGACTACAGTGGTGCCCCGCTTGACGATGATAATGCATTCCAACAAAATCACTGTTAAGCAAAATCATCATCAAGCAGAAAAAAATCCATTGAAATGCACTGAAAACCAGTCAATGTGTTCCAATGGGGGATATACCTGATCATGCAGCAAAGATCCTCCATAAGGTGGCCATTTTCCGCTCCCTATCTTGTGAAATGAGGTCAGCAAAACAGCAGGGAGCCATTTTGAGAGCCGCCAATCAGCTGTTTTAAAATCATCGTAATGCGAAGAATCGGTTCCCAAAGCAGGGAACCGACTGTCGTCAAGCAAAAAAAAAAACCCATTTGATCATCGGTTTGCAATCGCAATAGTGATCACAAAAAAGTCATTGTTAAGCAATTTCGACGTCATGCGGGGTAAGCGTCTAGTGGGGCACCACTGTATTCTTTTCATCCCTTCTTTTTATGCCCAGCATTGAAATGCAGCAGCCTGCCTGAAGGGGTTCCTTGGCCAACCTCCAACTGACTAGTTAAAAAAGAACAATGCAGACTATTTAATTTGTGGGTCTGTATACGAGTCTGTAATAATCAGCTTCAAACATGTGAAGAAGAGCTTTAAGAACAAACTGTCTTAAAACTGAGAGGCAGTTCTGAAGAACATCCCTTTATGTTTACATGCCAATTTTCATAATAGTTTAAAAATAACACAAAGCTAGATTTTTTTGGACCACAAACCCTCTAATTCTTCATGCTGGGAGTTCTGCCAGACAAGATATCTTACAGACACCAAAGTGTGGTTCACCTGGAAGAAAAACCTAAACTGGAATGCTCTGAGGCCTAGTTCAAGTTCAGCCTAGCTTGGTGTTCAGAAAGAAAGCTCCCAACTAGCACCACAGCAGGAACAGAAAGCTTGGGTGGAGGTAGGCCTTAAAGCCTTCCAATTTAGGCCTTTCTCCCAGATAAGCCACACTTTGGTGTCTGCAAAATGTCTGTCAGGCAGAACCAGAATGAAGAATTACAGGATTTGTAGTCCAACAAAAATCTCATTGCTAATCAACATATCCTTGTTTGCCAAAAGCCTTCATTCATTTTTGTGCAATCTGCTAATATCCATTTTCTGTCAGACCATACTCTAGAATTAGAATTTCTGGAGTAGATTAGTACCTCATGGGCTTTCAAATATGTCCACTCAACACTGTTGGTAGGAAAAAAACAATGAAGCACAGAAGACTAGAATATTTTTAGCTCTAATAAAGATCATTGTAAGAATCCAAGAGACTTAAATACTCAGCATTGCTGAGAATGAAGGAGTACAACTGAAAGGAGCTACAAGGCTATGAATTAGCAAACCTGTGCCATATGACAGAACAATCATTCAACCTCTCAACCCTATGGACAGCAATCCAGAAAAATCAGTTGACTCTCTGGAGCCCCAAACTGACATAAAAGTAGGCTTATCTAATTGCTTTCACTGCAGCTGCTCTTCATTCAACAAGGCTATCTACTGGCCACGTTCAAATCTTTTCAAGATCCTGAAAATACTGAAGCCAGGACAAAAGTTTCAAAAATAACAAGAGCTTTCTGTTCATTTTCATTACAGCACAGCTTTTTGGTACACATACATATCTGTGTCCATAATCCTTTCAACAATGACATCTATGTCCCCTCAAAAAAGGTACTGCCTGTCACCTAGGTGGTCTCCATGTTAAGAGTTCTCAAAGCAGCATGATGCCATTTACCTGGTGTGATCGGATGGGCACGCTGTTTACCAGACCCTCTGTGTCGGAGGGGGACTTCCGTGGAGCCTGCTTAACTGGAGACACCAAGCTCTCAGAGGTACTGCAGCTGACGAGGTGGCAGAGCAGAGTTTGCAGGACAATGTTCAAGAGGCAAACAAAAAACAAAAAACAAAACAAAAACAAAGGCAAGTGATGGCAGGATGACATGGCAAATTATGCCAAAGTAAAGGGTGATTTCAGTGAGGGACAGACAGCTCATACATCACCTTCCTATTTCTGCTCAACACAGTCACTCCTATTTCTCTTCCTTCTCACATGCATCTAATATGGCCTTAGAAGAAAACTCTACTAGAGAACAGCAGATTTCACAAGCTTTTACAAGATTTCTAACAGCTGTTCTCAACCACCTGACTAACCCTGACACAATCTAGGGGCACAGTTCCTTCCATATCTGCCTGAGACATCAGGATTTGCTTCCAAGTAAATACAGTGGTGCCCCGCATAACGAGCGCCCCGTTTAACAACGATTCCGCATAGCGATTCGTTTTTTTGGTCCTCCCAAAGGCCCCATTTTCACACAGCTGATCGGCGGTTCCAAAATGGCTGTTGGAGCGGCCACAGGCGAGGTCTCTCCCGCGGCTGCTCTGAA